GGCCCCGCCGTGACGCACTCCCACGTCCGTATGACATGAGCCACAGGTAACTTAATCAGCTCTGATCTGCGGAGGTTAGAAGTTGAAATGCTCCCGTTTACCATGTTTCCTCCTAAAAAAACACACACACACACTGGGACCTTTCAGTGGGGAGAGGAGGGGATCAAACAGTGCCTGCTTTAATTTGCCATGTGACTTACCCAGTGAGCCAAATGAGTTTCCTCTGAGCAGATTAACACTTGTCAGGGCCCTTAGCAGCTGCAGCACTGTCCATGTTCTCCGGAGGGAAAATTTTCCCTACTTTTTGGAAAGACCTTAATCTGAGGCAATTAGGTAATTCTGGCAGAGACATTAGTTTACAGTGAAAGTCTCTATATCCATTTGAATATGTCAGGGGTGAACGGCCGTGGGTTACTGAAGTTGGAGATCAAAGGGAGAGGAGGGAGGGCGGAGTGTGTGTGCCTGTGTGTGCGTGGTGTCCTGAGGGTAGAGGCATTGCTGCTGGTGTTGGGTGCCAGGAGTAAGAGGAGGAAAAACAACATCATGTGCTGCTGTTTACTCCTCACCACAGCACTGTCACCGTCTCCTCTGACCTACTTGTCAGTGCCCAAAATAAAAGAATGGATCTGTCTCCGAACCGCTCTTGCAACAAAGGCGTTTGTTTTATCACAGCAAGGCGAGTCGAGGCGAGGCTCCGGGGCACCGAGCTCACCGGGTTTCTTTTTTTTTTTTAATTTTTGGAAAACCCCGAGTCTGTGGCTTATCTGCGACTGCTAGCTTAAGACACTGCTGGCTGACCATTTTGACACCCCTGCCTTTCGGAACGGGCCATATAAGAGTCCTGGCTATGTGTACCCGCAGCAGCTGTGCTGTTTCCACACATTACAGGCTGCTTCATCAAGTGAATAATATTACCTTCTGCCCAAGCCCTAATTAAACGCTCCTGTAGTCTATTCAGATACAGCCAAGGCTTTCTAATGCATCTCTCCTAATGCAGACCTTTTAGCTCGCCTAATTGCATGTCCGTCAGCGCTCTGCACCCTCCTGGTAATACCCGGTTTTAATTCGAATAAGCCTCAAACTGAACTGAGCCGGGCTCTGTTTGGGCCATTATGCCTCCTGGTTATTTATTTGCGCCGAGACAGGCCTGTCGTTCCATGTGAGGCGAAACGTCGAGGCCTGCATGCAGAATATTTTTGAAAGGTTCTAGGAATCGAGGCGAGCGAAGCCGTCTCACGACCTCAATGAACCGGACCGTGGAATGGTGCTTAAATGCGAGCGACGCATCTCTTGTTGCATTAATTATTGAGACGGTTGTTCGTCACTCGGGTAGATTAGCAGTCTACTGATAAGCGCCCGGGGTTGTTTAAGGTACTGTAGCTTTGTGTGTGTGTGTCTGATCTTAGTGCATGAGCACATACAGTAAGCATGAATGCACATGGGTCATGTGAGGGCTGGGACATAATGTAGCCTGTATGACTGTATGCTTAACTGGGTGACAGAGCAGACGTGAGCCAGCACACAGTCTGTGTACACTGAGCAGAGCTTGGCCATGCAGTTTATAGTACTTTCACCCCGGCATGCTGGTGAACATGTCAACACTGATGTCATCAAAAACTTCTGGTTTTAAAGACAGACTGTGACTTCTTTTCAAATTGAATTCACTTTTTTAAAGATTTGTTTGAGACTAGTGACCTTTACTGAAGAGAGAAGAGGGACGACATGCAGCGAATGTCCCAAGTTCAGGAACTGAATCCAGGACTTCTGCATTGAGGAGTGTAGCATCTGCACATTGTGCGCCTGCTCTGCCAATTACGGCAGCCAGCACTTTAAAAAAAATCTATTACATTTTATAGACTTTGGTGTTAAATAAATTCTGAGGGCATACGTTAAAAAATGCAAGACAATGGCTTGTTGTTTGTCAAGGCATTGATGGTTTCTTTATGAGAAATGCATGAGAAGAAAAGAGTAAAGGAGGGGAAAGCTACACATTTGTGATCCATTTACCTCTGCAGTCAGAACATGAATCTAAGAATGACACTAAATTATTTGTAAGCAGCCAGTTACCTTTTATTAGCAATACAAGCTAGCAATCCACTAATATGCATTTTGTACTCTTAAGCTACTAAAGGAGGTTATGTGGTGCGTCTTTGTGAACGAGTTTGAAAGAAACATTGTCAAAAGTGCAAAACTTTGAAACATTTTCAGTAATTTCAAGATATTGGTCAAAGCGAGACCTCCTACTTTTCCTCCTGAATTTGCACATTTGTTACATTTCTGGTAAGTCTTCCTTCTTTAAACCTACATTTTTCCACTTTTGTAAAATTATTAATCATACCGATAAAATAGAAATAGTACAAGTAGTATAGTACATTCTAAAATGTAGCATTTATTAAAGACATAATTATAACAAAATATTTGTGAGGCATTACTGTAGACCTGTCAGACTGACTAAGACTTCCACAAAGCTGCCAACAGTGAATACAGTCCACTTTATTGG